ATTGTAGTGAACAAAGACAAATGGGGACAATGCCAACTGATAACAGCAGAGTCAAGTGTACAGGAAGTTCAAAGCTCACAAAGTTTCTGACAATCTACAGGTATTTATTTTGCACTTTTCAAACAGATATAAAAAAAAATGCTTCCAATGGTATATTTAACAGACCAAAATGGAGCAAATACAAGAAGTTAATTGTCAGGGTTTAGATACACTTCTAACTCTTTCTGGCACAGTCAACAATTATCTGCAGCGTCCAGGCACAGATTTGTGAGTTTTCAACTCCTTGCAGCATTAAAATGTAATACCTGATATCAGGCTACAATGAAAATTATGAAAATTGTTGATTTTCCACTGCCAACTAGCATGGAGTATTTGTCCGTTCTTCAAACATCCTCAAATTACTACTTATAGTACATCCAGTCATAAATATTTTTACATGATTGTCTGGACAGAAATGAAATGTTATCTCCACTTGTCATGCATTTGTCTGGAACACTGTAGTGATATAATTGTTTCAGCTCTTCAGCCAGGCTGAATGACATGCACAATTAATGTGGGACATACGCTGAAATTATCTACACTTTCAGACATTCCAGCTCTTCTGGTCCACTGATTCAAAGCATCTGTGACCTTCGGACTCCAACAATTGCAGTTTTGGCAGATTGAATATTAATCTAACATTTCTTGCAGTGTAGTGTCACGGCTTTGAAGCTTTCCACAGAAAAGAGGTAAAAGTATCACATCCACATTGGGTTACAACCTCATGTCAGTGATGCATGATGGGAGAAGCCATGGATAAGACAGGTTAGAACACCTGCTCTGCTCACTATTCTTCCCTATGAGATGCCAGCATCAGCTTCCACTCTACCACCTCCAATCTCCATAGGGCCAAGCTGAGTTTGCAGGACTGTACCCCACTCTGCAGTCCTCTCATCCTGAGAGTGCTTAGATTGCATCTGGTTGTCCACCCACTTCTCAAGTCTTTGGCCATTCTAATGCAGGCCATAGACGGGTCAAAAACTGGCCGTTTTTAAGAAAAAAAATGAAAAATCAGTCATTCAATAGGCCGACGTTACCACTAACGGTAAAAAAAAAAAAATCGGCTGATTTTTGTCCCATCTACGGCCAGCATTTAATTACTTCTGTCCCTGCAAAGAGCTCCGCTATTATATTTGACAGGAAAAAGTATTGCGGTTGCAACAATGTATCCATTTGTATCCATTTCGGATACAGATGTTTTTATTCGGATACAAATAGATACATTGTTGCAACCACAATACTTTTTCATGTCAAATATAATAGCGGACTGGAATTCTTTTTCTTCTTCTTCCTCTTCCTCCTCCTCTTCTTCTTCTTTTTCTTCACGGCTCATGCACAGATTTTTTATCGGTAAAAAGGATCGACCGATTTGCCTATCATTGCCGGGAAAATCGGCAAAATCGGCAACTTCACTGATAAAAAAAATGTGCCAAAATCCCGAAAAATGGCCAATCAATTAACCCACTAACGGTGCGAAAATCGACCGATTTACTACCCGTCTATGGCCTGCATAAGGGGTTGACATGTACATATGTGTCCATTTGTAGAGTAAAAGCAAAACTCTGAGGGAGTAGTGTGATGACCCCAGTCTTGCCAGACTTTTTATTGCCTGTTAGGGGTTGAGTTAGTCTAAAATGTACGTTCGCTCAAAACTGAAAACTCCAATACTGTCGGGGTTAATCATATGACAAATATATGTAATCCCTAAAAGTACATTTGTTTTTTGCTTCTTTTGGGTGTGGTAAAGGGATATTAAAGGAAACAGCTCCCGCTACTTTGTCTGTGCCCTATGAGGAGGGAGAGAGATGCTGCTTTCATGCACATTGCTGGATCAAGATTAAGTTCAGGTAAGTATTAGGGGGAGCTGGGCAGGGGGGATCTACGCACAGAAGATTTTTACCTTCATGCATAGCATGCATGAAGGTAAAAATGTTCAGCCTTTAGAACCACTTTAAATGTACAACAGAGGGCCCATTCACATTTAGCCTCAGTTCACGCTGCTGTGACTCCATTGACATGCAGATTCCAGAGCGACTTTCATGCAACATTAGAGTCTATTACTTTATTTGCATTGAAGTCACATCAGATTAGTGCAGGAACCTTTTTAAATGTTGAGTTGTATTGATTGGAATGGCCACCATTACAATTTATGTGTTTTTACTTGTCATGTGACAGTTGCAAGTCGCATCAGTGTGAACCGGGGCTTAAGCAGTCTATTGTGGTGCTTTAATGCACATGTGTTAGGGCGCATTATGGTACATGTTAACATGCAGTGCGCTACGGCAGCCTGTTTGTTATGAATGGGCTGCTAACCCACCACAAAGGATGCAAAAATGTGCAGAACTCTTTTTTTAACAATGCAGCACACTCCAACACACAGTATATGCATTGTGGTGCACTATGGTGAATTGTGCTCTGCTGTACAGTGCAGTGTGGTGCTGTTCACAATGAATGACACATAGGGGTTGATTTACTAAAACCGGAGAGTGCAAAATCTGATGCAGCTCTGCACAGAAACATAAAAAATAAGCTTCCAGGTTTTTAATATCAATGCTTAAAGGGGAGCTACAGTCAGTTTTCTGAAAATGTTAGCAGCTACAAAAACTGTAGCTGCTGACTTTTAATAATCAGACACAGCGCCAGCATCCTAACCACTTGCGCTCCTGAGGATTTACCCCCCTTCCTGACCAGGCCATTTTTCGTGCTGCGGCACTGCGTTACTTTAACTGACAGTTGCGCGGTCATGCAACACTGCACCCAAATCAAATTTATGTCCTTTTTTCCCACAAATAGAGCTTTCTTTTGGTGGTATTTGAACGCCTCTGCGTTTTAAATTTTTTGGCGCAAAAAAAGACCTACAATTTTGAAAAAAAAAAACAATATTTTTGACTTTTTGCTATAACACATCCAGTAAAAAAAATTTAAAAATAAAATTTCTTCATAAATTTAGGCCAAAATGCATTCAGCTACATGTCTTTGCTAAAAAAAAAAATCCCAATATGTGTAAATTAATTGGTTTCCATGGAAGTTATAGCATCTACAAATGGCGGTATATATACTGGAATTTTTATTTTTTTTATGCTAGTAATGGTGGCGATCAGCGACTTATAGCAGGACTGCAGCCATTCTGACACTAGGGGGGGGGGAACTAACTAACTGCCACTGTCATTCCCAGTGACACTAATACAGTGATCAGTCCTAATAAAAAGCACGGATACTGTACTAATGACACTGGGCAGGAAGGGGTTAACATCTGGGACGATCAAACGGTTAACAGTGTGCTGTGTGTGTTTTACTGTGTTGATAAGCTGCTTTGTATTGCTCTGCTATGTAGAGCAATACAAAGCAGCCTGTTTGTGCTGACAGGGAAGAGATCGGTGTTGTTTACATACAGACCTCTCCCTTGTCAGTTCCGCTGACAATCACCGAGTCCCAGCCGAGAATTGGTGGCCTGGACCCAGTGATTGACATGCCGAGGAGCCAATAGTGGCATGGGTAGGAAACGCGTGCACCCCCTACCCGGGAATGCAAAATTACATATATATACATACTTCTGCTATAGGGCGGTCAGGTAGCGGTTAAATGTGGGCACCCGGCTGTTACAGTTGGGTGCCCACTGCGCATGCGTGAGCGGTGCTGCGCATTGTAAATGGTCCCGCAGTTTTTTGGGACCTGCCACGTGTCCCAGAAGTCTGCAGGGAGGAACAGGGGCAGGAGAATTCCGCTTCCGATCACCTAGGCAGTCTAAGCAGAGGTGGGAGTGGGTACCTGTCAAAATTAGGTACCTGCTCCCCAAAAGTGCCAATTCTTTACCCGGTGTGTTGCAGGAGGCTGTAAAGCGGAACTTCCCTTTTTGGGTGGAGCTCAGCTTTAATTGAACAAGCTGAAGTTAGAAAGTGTTTGGCTACCATGCAGAGCTGCACCAGATTTTGTACTCTCCCGCTTTAGTAAATCAATTGTGCAATTCTATGCATTGTAGTGGCACGTAGTAACACTTGCGTTGCTACAAAGCACAAGTGTGAATGGGACTTGAAAGTGTTTTGTTATATCTGTTTGATAAGTTCAAAAACCTGTTGATCCTACCAGATATCTTGTAAACTGAGCTTAGTGAGCTGCACTCTTAGGCACAACAAGTCGAAAAGTGAACGTTCTGTCGGTTGAAAAACTAAAATGTCACATACGATTTTTAGAAACAAAATCCAGCATGTTAGATCAGGCACTTCTGGTTGCAAGACGAAATGCGCTTGTTGCAGCTGCCACACTAATGATGCAAAAAACAAATGACCAAGAATTGTTTCTCGGTTTTGACTCCTCTATAGCCTGCTTTACATTGTTTCTAGCTATTGTTGAGGTCTACAAAAACTGACTGGAGGCAGGCACTGTTGGACCAAGAATTTTTTCCATCCGGCTTCTTTGATAAAAGTCAATAACAAAATCAGCTTTTGTTGAGTCTGGTGGTGCAGACAGGGTAACCCAGGGAAGGTATTTCTGCCAATTCAGCAGGTATCAACTGAAATTCGATCTGTGTATGGGCAGCTTTAGAATGGAAATAATTTGATTCCTAACACCTCATTGAACGTCTGCTGTATGAATTTAGAAAATAGCATGACAGTCCAGGGACAACTCATGGGGCCCCCGGGCAATAGGGGATCATGGGGCCCCTGTGTCCTTGCCCAAACTCAAAAAAGCCTATGAAAAAGGTACCAGGGGCATCTCATGGGGTCCCCTACTGACCCCGGGCCCTCAGGCAGTGCCCGAGTTTCCATATGGTTAGTCCGCCCCTGCGACAGTCAAAGATAGCATTGTCCTACATATTGTAAGTCATTTTCATATATGCATGAAGAAAAATATTATCTTGGACAAACAATTCAGTGGTTTCCGAGGAACTCCGTTGAATGCAATAAACATGTCTTTTTTAACTACAATAAGAATGAGCTGTATTTATTTTTCTCCGTTTTTAGACTCAGCTCCCTGCACCGGCCTGCCCCAACAATCTCCGTACTCAAGTGCAGGAAACTGCTTTCAAAAAATTGTTCAACTTTGACATCCCGGTACTAATGTGGGGACCGTCATTTAATAGAGGAGAAAAACCTTACCCAGAAGCTACCGCCATATGGATGGAAAAATCTTTCTATAGAAGGTAATCGATCAACATTTGTTTAGTTTGTCTATCAGGGTAGCTTAGGAAATCCATTCTCGCAGGAGCCTACTGCACATTTTTACCCACCTCTGATGTGCTGGGATTTCCTCTGAACAGTACAAATCTCATTTCTTACCCATTAAACTCCACATAAACAGCTAAATGCACACAGTGAATTATTATACATGCCAAAGTATTTGTTACTCTGTTCAGCCAGTTGTGTGATTCAGTGACCATAACCAGGACTCGGACCTCACTTTTCTTCATTATGTAATACAGATTGGTCCACAACCCACCCTGGCCTGCTGATTGGCCCTTGAAGGGGCAGTAGTATATAAGGTTATCCCTGTGCATTTTCATCCTTAACCATGCTTAGGCAGTACTGGGCTGTACAACAGAGAGCGCTGAACCTCCCGGTTTGAGTGCTACTGTGTACTGTGCAGGGGATTTCAGAATGCTAAAACCAATTTTCCAGTACTTGTCATATTTAAAAATACATTTAATATTTCTTAAAGTTGAACTCCAGGAAGTTATAGGAAGCATCAATTAATTAATGTTATGTATTCATTGAGAAAAACACATTAATTGTACAGTATTTCAATTGCAACGTATTTAGATGTAGGAATTTGACTTGACTTCAGCCTTGTGAGTAGCAAACACTCCTGTCTAACACAGCCAGCTGCGCTGCGAGAAGATACTGTCCGATGTACAGCTGAATGCCGCTAATCAATGCCCTGTACATCAGCACTCTGGGAAAAGGAGGGTCTGTAGTTAGGGACAATCCTGTGTCCTGCATTCACATGTGCTGATAAGAAGAGAGAACAGAGTGACGACTTCATCAGTCTGTTGCCACTTCATCACTATCCAGTCACAGGCTGACGACAGGAGGTGACATGGCTGTGTTGTTTAACTGTAGTAGAGAAAAGTCAAGTCACCCGGCTGGATGTGCTATGTGTCAGAGCTATATAAATCTCAGGACTGGATTGACAGAGACACAATTGTTTTGGCAGGCAAGTCAGTTCTCATATATGTTGTGCAACTGTGGATTTAGCTGTGTGCCTGGAGTTCAGCTTTAATGGACACATAACTGCAAGTCACATAACTTGTAAGCAGGATACCCAGGACTCTGTCCTCGGACCAGTTATGTTTAACCTTTTCATAAAGGATATAGAGGTTGGTATAAATAGTTCAATCTCAGTGTTTGCTGATCATACAAAACAGAGCAAGGCAATACTTCACAAGATATAAGGGTTACTAAAGACAAATAGACTGTGCACTTTGCAAATGCAGTTGTACTCTGCAAGGGAATTTGCTCCAGAGCTTTGTAAATGAGATGAAGATTCTCTTTGCAAAGAATACCCAATCACATGCAAGGAAAATAAGAACAGCAAAATCAACCCCATAGAAACTTTGCAAGAAGACCTAGATAAAATAGAGTGGTTGGCAGCTATATGAGAGATGAGGTTTAATGTGGAAAAATGTAAAGTAATGCACTAATAATATGTATGCAAGTTACACGCTTGACCTCTAGGGCAGGAGCAGGCAACCCTAAAGAGGTAGAGGTCTACCTGAACAACATGGAAGAAGTCAAAGATCACAGAGGCATAGTGTCGCCTCCTCACACCTGATTTCGACCTCTACCGTGTCACAATTGCTTGCATTATGCAACAATCCTGGGTTTAAATCAGGTGATGAGGAGGCAACATATCACCTCCTCGCCACTTTGTGAATGAGCCCCCAGCTGCAATCAGCAGCAGTAGGGCTCATTCACATGTAAAGTTGGGGGGGGGGGGGGGTAAAACCCTATGGTTGATTGCAGTTTTACCACCCCCAATCCCTACCCCCTTTAGCTGCTGTATGCAGCAGCCACAGGTGTACACCTCATCAGCAGGAATTTGCTTTGGTGGGTGAGCCCCTGCCTGCTGCAACCATGACTTATTCAAGTAAATGGGGCCACTCTACAATCACCCTGTAACTGTATGGAGTTTTGGTGCGCTTTCAGAAAGTGTGCCAAACCTACAGGATATAATAAAAGTCTATGGCTAAACGCAGCAAATCCGCAGGAAAGCTGCTGGTACACTGCACTGCACCCGTGGTGTGGGTAAACCGCAGCACATCAGTGTGAAAGCAGGCTTATACTATTATGCCCAGTGTATTGCTTCACACTGACCTAAAGATCTCTTTTTTTCCTGCTGCTGACGCCACTCTGGAGACCACTAGCTGGGATAAGAGGTGGAGTGCAGTTGGTCTCACTCCACATGGAACAGGAGCCGGCACTACAGAGGAGGCATTGGCTCATGCAGCTCTTGCTCCCTACTACAGATCCAATTTCTAAGTAGTCACTTTGCATAACACTCTGTTTGATGGCAAGTGGATGGCGGGTCAGCAAGCCCAGAACATGATCTATCAGACACCTGGCTGCGATCTACTGGTTGCTGACCCCCGTTCTAGGGGAATCGAGAATATCTAATATCCTAGTAGAGGACAACAAGGTTAGCAAACTGTTAGCATGCATTAAAAAGGTTATTTACTCACGAGAAGAACTATAACTCTATCACTTTACAAAACTCTGGTTTGGCCACATCTTGAGTATGTCATCCAGTTCTGGCCACCAGTCCTCAGGAAGAATGCGCTGGAACTGGAGAGAAGGACAACAAAGCTAATAAGGGGACTGGAGGATCTCAGTTATGAGGAATGGCTACAATCACTAAACTTATTGTTCTTGGAGAAGAGACGCTTAAGAGGGTATATGATCGGAATATACAGATCTTTGAATGGTGACTCTAGCATGAGGAGGAAACTATTTAGTCTCATAATGAAGACAAGTGGCCACACAATGAAGTTGGACAGGAAATGGCTCAATCTTAAATTGTGTAAGGGGTTCTTTACTGTTAGAGCGATAAAGATGTGGAAACCCTTCCAAAGTTGGTGGATTCAGTGTGGAGTGCAGATAAATTCAAAAAACTTTTAGATTTATTTCTTAGCAAACACAATGTTCAGGGACATTGGAAATAATAGAAACGTAAACACACATGCATTGAATTGGATGAACTGGTGTCTTAAGTTAATCTTGCAGACTATATAACTATGTAACTAAATCAGGGGTGCTCAACCTTCTGAAGAGCGAGGGCCACATAAGTGATTTGGTAACCAGTCGCGGGCCTCAATGAAATTAAAATGGTTCCCATTTTCATTTTTTTTTATTTTGCTATTTTAAATAGCATGATCAACATTTTCCTCTTGCAGCCGCTGAATGGCAGTGGGAGAGAGAAGAGGAGATGCCGGCTTTCAGCGGTTGCAGGAGGAAAATGGAGAGGATCGGTTCCAGTATATACTGCCCCTCCTTTCCAAGTGTGAAACAGAATGCAACAGGGAGGCTGTACAGACCCCCTGGAGCATGGGTTAGGTTCGCCATTGCGACCCCTGATGCTACAACAGTGGTTGAGGTGGGAGGTAAAAACACGTCTCAACTATGGGGTTTTACTGCCCTCCAAACTACAAATGTAAACAAGCCCTTACTGTCCCGAGCCCTCTATAAGGCTGCTTTCACACTGATGCACTGCGGTTTACCTGTACTGGGGGTGCAGTGCCGTGCACCTGCGGGTTAAGTGAACTTTGACTTTTATTATATCTTGTAGGTGTGATGCACTTTAGGAAGCACACCCAAATTCCTGCATTCAGTTAGAGGTGTAGGGCCACACCAGAGGGGTTTGAGGGCCACCTGAGCTAAATGATCTTCTTTATGTCTGCATTGAGTTTTGCAGTAGGAATGACAACTAAAGCAGGGAAAAACAACTGCTATCTCAGAGTTCATGTATTCTGTATGCAGGAATTTAGGGACCATTATCCCCAAACCAGATGACTATTTTGAGTGGCCTGGTCTATGTTCCATAGTCTGCTGGGTTTATAAGGGTCACTAATTAGAAGGGTGCTGAATTCTCCCAGTTCTAAATTTCTGAGGCTCCCATAACCTTGGCTGAATTCTTCATTTGCTCTAGTGCAGGGGTGTCAAACTGGTGGCCCTCCAGCTGTTGCCAAACTACAAGTCCCATGAGGCATTGCAAGATTGACTGTTAAATGCATGACTCCCAAAGGAACAGGCATAATGGGACTTGTAGTTTTGCAACAGCTAGAGGTCCGCCAGTTTGACACCCCTGCTCTAGTGTGTATGTATGGCATTACATTGGGCAGGAGTGGATGTGATTTGGTCCTTTCCAACAATGTATCACAGTACTAGACTATTTCTCCATCAGAAATACATGAGGTCCCTATAGAAGAATGTAGAACATGATTTTTCTAATTTTTTTCTACCTGGTGTCTCTATTTTGAGTGAGTCTGGGCCATCCACCAGTTACAGTAAGGCAAAAAATAATGCAATCCTCTCCCAACACGGCACATACAATACGAATATAAAATCCATATATATCCTTCCTAATGTGAACTTGTTATACAGTCTTGTTTGATGGTGTTATTAGCTCACTGACCCTTCCCACTTATTCAAACCGCTTGCACTTACACATTCATTTAATCGGATCAAAGTACAAATTCCTAACAGACCTCTACCACATCCTAATGTGTAATATTATCCTGTTGACACCAACACAAACCCAGAGGAGAATCCATCTTCAAATATGGAGACAGCAGAATAAGACTGTGACATTTCAGTAGAGCATATCAGATCTGTGAAACAATGACATTACTTATTTTTGGTGGAACCACCCGCTGAAGCACACAAAGTTTCAGTATCCTAAATTCCCTGCGGTGGAGAACACAAAAAGCTGTATTGTGGGTGTTGGAATTAAACACATGAGGGGAGGATAATGTGCTGCGCTGCATTTTACTGACACTGACAGATGTCACTAGTTCATAGAGTGGTAACCGATATAAACTGCACTCAAAATGTTAGGAAAAATTATTGCATTAGCTATTATAACCTGGGAATTATCACATAAAAGTATTTTTGTGTAATTCACAATTTTCAGAGACCATAGTATTAATTG